TAACGCTGTATGGAATACTCAATTTTAGAACTTCTAGGAAAATGCTTGTAACTTTTTGATGCAAGGTCATACAGAGTTGTGCGAGGTCTTATTTTGATCAGAAACGTTTGCTCTACAAGTCTCTGTGAAGAATCGCCGGTTTTTGAGATATTTTCCATTTTTCTCAGTTAAGAAACGTTTTATTATGAAAATAATGTGAAATTCGAAATCAGCGTGAAAAACTGCATCGAATGATGTATAATTGGTTAGTTTTACAAATAAAACATTTTTTGACGAAATACAGGGCAAAGGCATTTTTTAACAAATAAAGATTTTTTTTCGAATTCGGCCTTTTTTCCTATTATTAATATCTGACGCATAATAAGACTATATTATGCGAAAATAATCATTCTTTAGCTCAAAAAATCAGGTGTCCGCCTGCTCTACGAAAAAATGTCCACTGTTCGACGTGGGAGTGAGTTACTGTAATTTTTCGTTGCTCAAATCAGGTCGTTTTATGTTAAGAAGTTGAAGTTTATCAGTCGATTTGCGGAAGAGTTGGAGTCTTGTTCGTATTAAAGTAGTTGAACTTATACTGAATGTTATCAGAATAGTTTTTGACTTTTTGTTAATTCCAGCAATGGTTAAACAAACTGTCAACTGAATATGAGAATCTAAAATTTGGAACCAATCATTCTTGTTTCCGATCAGAAGAAACTAGTCAGGATGATGATGATGATAATTGTGAGAAGCATGGAGAGGAAGAGACGGAACACGATGAGCAAAAACACAATAACACACTATTAACAATGTCGTGCCATTTGTCGTGGGTACATCAAATATTGCTTCCCACACAAGCGTCTGATGGTCAGGGTGAAGAACAAACACAACAACAACAACAACAACAATTTACGACAACTGAACAAAAACAATTACCATCATTGGATTTTGGTTCTAACACGGTTCGTCCTGTAGATTTAGTGGAAACAAATCTAACAGATAAATCAGTCGATAGAAAAGGTAAAAAAGAGTATAAATTCGCATCCGATACAATGATTTTTTTGTTTCAGAATTGATAACAAAACATTATTGTCTACACTGGATTGATAGTGATGATCATAGATGCAAATCGCTTCATGAAAACATTTTACAACCAATTGTTAAATATTCTGAATTTCGAACATTTACTCCCGAATATCAATTGTCATTAACGAATTCTAACATTTCTGATAGAAAATTATTGATCAGATTATCTGATATACGAAATATTCGTCCAATTCTTTATGCTATTCATTCTATTCAACAAGTTTATTCCATCTATATCTTATGTTGTTCACACGTTGATAAACAAAAATTACAATCATTAACAAAACATTATCCTAAAATTGTTTTATTTTTTGGAGATCAGATACACTAATTGTTCAAGTTGTCACTGAATTAGCCACACAACTATTGGATGTTGCTTCTGAATATGAGCAGACAGAAAATATGACTTTATCAGCAATTATTTCAGATTATTCAGCATACTTGTTAACAAGTATTAATGAGCCATTACTACAGAAAATTAACAGTATGGATGAATGATACAAATCTAATTTTTTTACTCACCAATCTTGTACGCTAGAAGGTAGTACGCGTACGTTCTCGTTTATTCTCACTTTATTTCAAGCAATACGTTGTACTTTGCATTGTTTTTTGTTTAACACTATTTTTTGGTGATAGTGACACGGGATTGTTCTAGCGTAGGTCTATTGACACCATCGGGTGGCAGCAATAACTCAGTTTGACACCAGTGATGGTGACAATAGCTTTTTATTCATACAAGCGGTGGTAGCAATAGCCATTCCGATTGTTTTAATGATGTTTTTTCGGTGTCGCTTATGCTTTGTTTTCATTCATCGTTAATTTTTCAAGGAATATTATAAATTTAAAAATCTTCTCATTTCTCATTAAAAATCGAATTGACTGGTTTCTTTGCATTCTTTCGTTGAAACACGTTCGTCTGGGACCTTTTTCAACTTCTAAAGAATTACAATAGAAATCACTAAATTATTTTGTCCGATCACCTTGTCCTTTACTCTCGTTGGGAGAAAAATGCTAGTTTGTACTCGAACAGAGACGAAAAATAATAAGCTTTTCTTGAAAACTCTTTTTCTTTTAATAGGGTGAAGGACCTATGCCTATCTGATTTCTTTCTAAAGTTATGTATTTTTTGTTTGCGTAGAGAAAGAGTTATAGTGACACTGTTTCGTATCTTGGTAAAAATAGTCAGATAAGGCCAGAAATGTTTTTCATAACTATGCTAGTTATTTACTGATCTCATAGAAATATGTGGTCTAAAAAGACCGTTCGCTCCTTTCCACCACATAGAGGTCTTTCATTACAGAACGGTATTTTCTTTTTCCCTTGACTGTAAAGGAAAGTGTCTTATCGAGTTAAAATGCTTGTATGTTTATATGGTAGCCGCACAGAGCAACAAATAAAATGGACATGTGCTTGTATTATGTGGCGTCATACAGCCATGAAACTTTCACAGCAGAGATATTCAACTATGGGATTTTCATCTCATTCAGGAGTGGGATAAAGAGTATTTTTGATATTGGCGATTCCTTTCCAGTCAAGGGATAAGCGGATCAGAACGATTAATGCTAGTTGTGTTTTTCAACTTTTTGAAAATTCAGTCATACAATAAAGTTAATTAGACTATATTATTTTCTTCTCTGATTCAGAACGTTGTTGTCAGAGAGAACACAAATACTAAAAACACCTGCAGCCTACTCTACTAATGAGTGACGTAAGTTATAGGAGATAAAACGACCGCCTTGGAAAACAAAGTTGTTTTTCACGAAGTAAAATTCATAACAACAAATTCACAGCACAAACCCTTTTAGACTTTTACTTCGAACCACATTCTCCGTCAACGGGCCTAATGCCATTGAAGACGAAGATGGACACTTGGAAAGGTCCGCTAGTACGGATGTTCGGTTCTCGGTTCTCATTAAGAATCGGAACTGTAGTTCTCTCATTTTCGGTTCTTCATCGGGAACCGGAACTGCGATTTTGTAGCCAGTTCCTTTTTTCGAGACTTTTTGACTTGCTTTTCTTTTAGCAAAATGAAAACACACTATTAACAAACTACAAAAAGATATATTTGCTATCATCATTTAAAAGAATCCTTTCGTTTACTATAAAATGAGTTCTATTTTGTTGAATTATTACCACCTGCAAAAATGATTTCCGGTTCTAAGCTGAGAACCACGAACCGGGGTTCTGTTCGTTTCGGTTCCGCATGAGGAATCGGAACCGCCGTTCTTTCTGTTTCAGTTCTAACTTGAAAACCGGAACCGCGAATCAAACATCTCTATCCTCTCTAGCTAGATTTTATAGTGTTTTGTACACTATAAAATACATTATTTGTAAGAAATAGCTCATATTAACTTGCACCTTTAATAGAAGTAGTAAAGTTTGGTGTATGTCCGAAATCTGCACACAATACTAAGTATACCAGTTAAATGCGTAGGTATATTGATTGAGTTACTGGCAGTGAAATATTAGTATCTTCTAATAAGCAGAATAAATCCTCTATTTTTCCCCAAAATAAATTCATGTGTTTGTTATAGACGTAACGAACTTCGTGTCATTCCGGTAGAAAGTTAGAGTTATTTTACAATTTGTAGCCACCTACAACGTTTTTGATTCATATTCGAAAAATACTCACGGATCACCGAAATTTTACAGTAAATACTGCTTAATACTCCCCAGATGTCAATTATTTTTGTTATATCATCTTTCCTACCATAGTTGAGCAGAAACGTCCAGAAAATCTACATCTTCTAATGTTAAAATCTGTAATTTGAATTCATATAAAAGTCTTTTCATGACTACAGCAAAGCATGAATGTACAGTGTGAACTGTGTAGAAAAGTAATGCGAAAACACCACTGTGTGAAACCGCTATGTAATGTCAACTAGAACCGTTGACGTGTCTAATTGGTGTCAATTAAAGCTATCGAGAGCGTTTTTTTTTACTTGGCTGAATAGACTTCGATCCGACCTTTCATCTAAGACAACACCGAAAGCTCCATGTTATGAAAGAAGAGAAGAGATGGTGCACAAGTTGGACAAAATCGGGGGAAGAAAGATACGCAGTGCACTATTCCGTCGAAGAATCAGTTCTTAATAACTTTTTCCAAAAAAGATAAACAGACGCCGTAAAACGGGTTTTTTGGTTATTTCGTTTCAGCAAAAACAACTGATTGGCTGGTGGTGGCAAATGATTTAAAAATTTTCAAGTTTAAATAGTCCGTCTCACTCTCGATAATAACAACCAAGTGCAAAGACAATATAAAAGTTTTAAGCTTCACTACAATCGAGGCTTTGACAAGAGAAATTAATTCAGATCAATTTACGAGATTGAATACATTTAAATCAATTAATGATAGATTTGTAAACTACTTTTCAATCTGAAACTAATTCGAACTAACAAACTGCAGAAATCAATTTAAACTGTTTTATAAAACCAAACCATTTAAAATTTCGCTGTTACACGACGATTATCATCGTCTTGTGAATGATATGCTACGTCCAGTTCGATTTCACAGAAAACTTCCCGTAAAAGAACTGAACCAAAATCAAAATCAATGGTAAACGATTAAAAAAATTATTCTAATGAATTTAAAAAGTCAGAACTGAGTCACATCAATTTGAAAAATCAAAATTAATTTCCAATAGTTTCAAATAAACTACTTTGAAGTAATTTAGTAGAAGAAATCAATCCAAAGTGAGATCAGGTACGAAATTAGTTTTAATTCATTCGCAATAGATTTGAATGAATATTATTTTAGACTAGTTGCAATTCATTTTCAAGGTTATTCGGACATTCATCGATGGTTATAACATTTTCAACGTACATTTCCAAGCAAGAGAGGACTTAAAGACGCAGATTTTGATTATAAAAATCTTTTTGATGATCTTATGCCGCAAGAGTAAAGCCTCTGTCAGCTGGAAGTGGATCCAGAATATATATATATATATATTCTTTTCTAGCTAGCTTCTGTCAACTATTATTCAGTTTGAAAAAAATCCAGCAAACTTTCTTATTTGGAATAATAGCGGTTGAACGGTGTCCTCTCAGTTCGTCCCAAATTGACTTCTCAATTCGTCCCACGAAGCTTTTTTTCTCAGTTCGTCCCATCAACACTTCTCTCTCAGTTCGTCCCATATATTTTTTTCTCAATTCGTCCCAGATATTTATATTTGCGCCTAAAAATAAATAAAGTGTTGTACCATCGTTTAGTCGACGGCGATGGTATTGTAGACAATACAAGGTCCGTGTACGTAGCAAAATACCATCGAACAGTTTAGACGACGGCGATGGGTATTGTACACAAGACTAGGTGCGCGTACGTGGCACAATGTGTCGTGTTAGCCACTACTATCACAAATTTAAATCTAAATAAGTTAAACTGTTTTGTTCATCAAAATGTTAATTTTCACGTCTACTGAAAAAGACAAACCAGTTTTGAATCATAATGGGTATCAATACACCAAAAAACGAGCAAACAAAACAAATAATGAATGGCGGTGTCGGGATCGAACATGTTCAAGTACAATATCATTATGTACAGACGATGTGAGAATTTTACGGAATGAATCAGCGCACACATGCCAACCAGATACCACCAAAGTCCTCATCGATATTGCTGTTGATAATATGAAAAAACGTGCAAGAGAGGAAACACTACCTATTCCAAAAATATATTCACAAGAGGCCGTCAGAGCAAGAGTTGCCAGTCCTGGTCTTGCAACTGGTCGTGTGTTTCCAACACTTCCGAATGTTGATGCTTCACTTTGTCGTCGTAGAGCGCTTAGTTACCCTAAATTGCCAACAACTACCAATGAGATCGCTTTGACCGGCTTATGGAGGCTATCGAAAGAAGGAGGAGAATTCTTGCTTGTCGATGAAAAATGTAAGTAACCTTCTAGAGTTAGACGTGGCTCATCGCTGATTCTTCTGGCTTTATTTAAACTAGATGGTACAGATCGACTCATGATATTTGGATCGGAATGGAGCATACGATTTTTGTCCTCTTGTTCATTCTAGCATTCAGACGGTACATTCAAAGTTCGTCCATTACTCTTCGAACAACGTTATATAATTTTCGGTTTTCAAAACGGATCCATGATACCATGTGCGTATTCTTTAACTACACGGAAAAATTCCATTGTCTACACGAAAATATTGAGACATTTAATCGAATATGGTAAAAAGTTGAAT